GCAGGTTTGGTCAGGTCCTTCCCCAGCATCTACTGACCAAAGGAAGTCATCTGAAGAGCTGGGCTGTTGAGGAGGGGGTCCCCGTGACATGACCCCAGCAAGACCCCTCTGGTGACCACAGCCTAGCGCTCCGGCTGTGGCAACTGCCCCCACAGGGGGAGTGTGAGCCAGGGACACCACCTCAGCAATGGAAATAATCGTTTCCATGACATGGACGCAGGGTTATTTTTATTGCTTTTATTTTTGTTGCTGCTCCCAATAAGTTAACTGGGGCATGCACTACCCATCAATAAAATCAATTGAGCAGCCTGAGCCATTAATAAGCTAAGTGCCAGAGGGCAGAAAAACCTCTCCATCGCCCAAAATATTCTTCGGGCAGTGGGATGGGTGAGCTGCAGGCCCCACTCGTCGCTCTGACTTGGTGCTGCTCTTGACATGCCAGGGCAGCTTGTGTATTATAATGGGTGACTCAGCAGCCACCACACTCATCCCCAGTGACCTGGGCACGAGGGGCTGATGCCGCTGCCATGGGAAGGAGCCCATCGGTCAGAGGGGAGCCCAGTGGGACCCCCAAGGTCAGTCTTTGGTCCCACCTGCTGCTGAAAGCAGTGTCAGCACTAAGATCAGACCAGGTTGTCCAGGGATTTATCCCTTTGGGGCTTGAAAACCTCCCAGGATGGAGACTGCACAGCCTCTCTCAGTGACCAACTATCCTCAGAATTAATGCTTTTTCCCCCCACAATATCTTATATGTCTCTCTGAACAGCAGCCATGTCCTCCAAGATAGCGACTACATCACCAGCAAGCAGGACAGGTCCCAAACAAATTGCCAAAAAAACCTGGAAAGGATGGAAAACCCAAACTGTGACTCACCGTTGGAGGAGCAGCAGGGCAGGTTGGGGAGGCCGTGAGGCAGAGGGCTGAGGGTCAGTAGTGGAGGCAGCAGGGGTGGACCTGGAAGGCAGCATGACATCTCAGCACCCCAGGGTGCCCAGCCAGCCCCCCACCCTGAGAACCCGCAAGAGCATCCTCCTGGTGCTGCCGTGGCCAAGGGCAACCCGGGGGATGGGGAAGCACATGGGTAAAACAGCCCCAAGCAGAGGAATCCTTGGTAATTTTTTTATGCTGATTAGCACAAACTTCTGGTCACTGATTCCAGTATTGAGAAAAAGAAGGAAAACCTCTGACCACGGCACCAGCTTCATCAAAATAAGTGTGAACAAGGGGTCTTAGACAAGGATTCAGGATGCTGGAAGGTCAAGGGGTTGCAAGGAAACTCCTCGTCCTGCTCCCCAGTGCCAGTGCAGATGCAAGCCCTTCCATCCCAGCCCCGTGGGTGCATCCTGCCTCCCCGCTGCCCACGCAGGATCAGAGCAGCGACCCACAGCAATGCAGCCTGTGAATTCATGAGGAAAGAAACTTTCATCTGTCTTTCAGGTCATAGGTCTGAGTTTATCTCAAGACAAGACTTAGCATTCAGGAAATGTGTCAGTAAAGAATTTGTCAGCAGTTTTCTTAATCACATATTGGTCCATCTCCCAGCAGCTCTGCTTCTTGTTATGTTACAACCCTTCCACCCTTACACTAACGTGCTGCACAGTACGATCCCAACCACAACCCCGCGGTATTGTACTGTGCACACCCATGCACAGAAACTCCTGCTTCCAGCACAGCTTTCTCCTCTAAATATTTGGTGCAGATAGAATTGTAAGCCAGTCTCAAAACCTGCTATTTCTATGTCTTGCAGCCCCCTGAGAGGCAGGAGCAGGTCAGTTAAACTGCACATTTGTCTAGCCACCTAACTCATGTTTTCTGCAATTAAGGTACAGGTCACCTCCAGGTATGGACATGCTTGTGTTTCCCAGAGGACTGGTGCTGTGCTGGAGGCAAACCTCAGTTCCAGCATGGGTACGAGTGCACCTCAAGTAATCCAAAAGCTGTCTCCAAGCAGAAACCTCAGCACTACAAAGCATGTCTTGACCACAGCTGCTTTAAGCATCCCCCAACACCTCCTGCAGGGCTGTTTCCAGAAGACCTCTGCTGGGCACAGTATCCAGCAGCACCACCACAGCCAAAGAGGCACTGGCTGTGGCCGAAGAGGCACTGGCTGGGGCAGCTGCCTGTGTTCCCGCATCACACAACAGCAGGGTCTTGTTCATCAGTGACCAATGCAAGGCAGTTAGGAGTTGTCTTAAAAGGCAGCATCACAAATGTATGGACGAGCAACTTTTTGGTCTGCTGGTAGACTATCATCTTCGCCATCATTTCCCAAATCCTCTCTCCAGCATGGCTAAAGCCCTGCACCTTGTGTCTGCTCTGCCAGTACGAGCAGAGCAGTCTTTTTTTTTTTTTTTCCTGGTTGTTTCTCTCCAGTGAAACACACATTGGTGCCGCAAGAGAGACACCAGCAAGCTTATCACGCCAACAGCTTTCTACCTCCTGATCCATGGCAGTGGAGAGCATGGCTCTATTGGTGCATGGCCAGCTCGCCTGCTAGCTGTCATGAACTAGGTCCCATTATCAAATTTGGTCAGCAATGTTCACAAGGGATCACCCAGAATGCTGAAGGAGTCGTTTGTGAACAGCAGAGCAGCAGAGGTATTCAGATCTCAGCAAAATCACACCTATTGCTCCCAGATAAAAGCACCTGAGGATGCAATGAATTCCAACACACTGATGTGGTAAGTCCCCCAAAAGTCAGCCTTTGTAGACTATGACATTTCAACACCCTTAACTCATCCCAAAGAGGCACCAAGCACCCTGAGCAGCACGGACCCCACGCAGGACAGCACTCCCCAGGGGCTCAGCAGCACCCTCAGCTGGACACCACCCATGTATGCTGGAGGACTCAGCCACCTTGTTCCAGCGGGCTTGAAATTTCACAACATTTCTTCTTGAGTGGGTAAGGTGGAATCATGGAGATGTGACCAAATGTTCTCTAAAGAGCATTTGACCATGTGGCATCAATAGGATACAAAGGTGAACAAACGGTGTGTGGCTCCCCCCTTGTGCCCTGCCTTGGAGGTGAGCTGATGGGTACTTCCACGTGTGAGCAGGTCCTGTGCCCAGTCCCAGGAGGCTCTGACAACTCCACTTTCACTCAGGCTGAGCAAGCTGGTAAGTGCTGCTCTTGAGAACATCTTCAGGCATCCAAAGTGGCACTTAGGCATGGGGGCTGCCCCTAGCACTGCCTTGGTGGGTGTCCAGAGCACCCCAGCTCACAGGCTGCCCTGCTCCCCAGCCCAACCCACCAGATCACACTGGGAATGATTTTTAAGGGTCCCTCAAAGCAAAGCTTGCTCAGGCAAAACCAGATTTTCAGCAGCCCTGGCCAGAGTCTTCCCATCTCTGCACCTACTCTGGGCTAGAGGTGCAGAAGTAGCCCTCTCAGAACCCTGGCACACTGCCCTATCCCACCATCCCAAATACCAGCAGGTCCTCCCATATCCCCTACTACCTACCACCCCACCCCCAAAAAAACCCTGCTCCAAAACCCAGCCTGCCTCTCCAGCAAACTCAGCCAGCCAAGCTGGACTTCAGCTTCCCCTCACCTGTGAGTACTTAGCTGTTTGTACCCACAGGGCATCTTGCATTGCCCTGTGTTTAGGACCATAGGGCACCTGTGTGGGGTCCGAGGTCTGCAGAGAGCATAGATAGCTTGCAGATGTTCTCTTGCTTTGCTGCAGCCCCCTAGGGAAAACTCAAGCTTTTTGGGAAAACATGCTGTGCAGCTGGTGAGGGATGCACCGGATGGGATGGGGATGTTCTCCCACCATATCACCAAATCCCTGAGCTATATAGTACACCATATAGACAGGAACCTCAGCAAGAAGGCTCTGTCTGCATTTCCCCCCCAGGGCTGCTGGCCCCCTTCATGTCAGAGGGGACCCTGCTCACATCCAGTTGGGGTGCAGCAGCCCCTGTACTGCTGGGATCCACTTCGTTCTGCTGCTTGGGGTTTTCAGTGCCACTGTTCATTGTGTAGGGGAGAGAAGTCTTAAGGGCGCAGGAGTGGGCTGTCCCCATGTGCCGTAAGACCAACCGGCGAGGAAAACGACCAGCCTGGCTGAACAGGGAGCTTTTGTGGGGACTCA